AATACTACTCTTGGGAAGGCGAGCGAGGCGGCATTGCTCAAGGTCAGGAGTTCAAAACCAGCTGGGCAAGAGCGACCGCCCCGTCTCTACTACTAAACAGAAAGAAATTAATTGCCAACTGATATATATATATAAAATAGCCGGGCATAGTGGCACATGCCTGTATCCCAGCTACTCGGGAGGCTGAGGCAGAAGGATCACTCGAGCCAGGAGTTTGAGGGTTGCTGTGAGCTAGGCTGACGCCACGGCACTCACTCTAGCCTGGCAACAAAGTGAGAGTCTGTCTCAAAAAAAAAAAAAAAAAAAAAAGTACAATGTAATAATTCAGCCAAATTTGGGCTTAGGGTAGATGGCTTTATGTGTTTATAAATATATACATACATATGCACATGTATATGTAATGTGTATGCATTATTACATAAAATGAGAACTTATTAATAATAATAGTGGCTAATGGAGACCTTTATACGATTTTAGTTTCATTCCATACTTCTTTTGCAAGCCACAATATTGGATTTGATTAGCAATGAGAGAAAATAGTGTTCCATAATTGTGCCAAGAGATTTTTTCCAACTCATGGGAGAGGCTTCTAATTAAATACTTAAGTAAACATGTAGTTTCCATGTCACTAATTCCTCAAAATCTTTAGGCATAAAAAAATTTATACACAAGAGGAGTCTGCAGCATGTCATTTTAGTAAAGAAGAAAATAAAATAATCAAACAGGTGCAACAACCTCACTGGTCTAATAAAAGTCAAATGTTCAATGATACTGCAATCACTATAGAGAATTGAAAATAGTAGAAAATAAGATTATGGAGTTTTATTCTGCCTGAACTCAAGACAATCAGCTCTAATAATCTTCTTTTGTAGAAAGCACTTCTCTAGTGTGAGACTAGAAATGGTGTTTAGTACGCTTTAGCATGTATGTTACAGTAGGGAGGTGGGCATATTCTTTTGTTTTGTTTTTAAACCACAGTATACATATAAGCTAATAAGTCCTATTAATTGCACTTCAGTTATGAGTAAAAAAGACAACGAAACAAGAGTGCAAAACACAACACAGTCTTACAAATATGGTGCCATTGGATCTATCCTGCAAACTTTATAAACTGCAATACTCTAAGGCCAAGCAGAGTCAACCTAGTATGCTCTGAGAACAGCGGAGTACAGAATGCTAATTCATTATTTGGATCCAATCTTGCTAGTCTGTGTCAGAGAGAGAATAGCACAGTGCCAAAGTTTGTGAAGTTATGTATCGAACATGTTGAAGAACATGGTAAGAGAATGATTTTGATTTTTCTTTTAAGCAAACATTAAGCAAACCAGCCCGCTATTTTGTCATCAAAATGCCTAGAATTTTTGTGATTTTGAGTGATGCAACCAGAAGTTCCTTACAGTCTTAAGATGTTAAGAAAAGCATTTTGTTTTCAAAAATCTTACATGTTTGCACCTGTTTCAAATTAAGACCTCTGCAGAGAGCTATTGAATGTTCAGTACTCATGGTTAATTAAGTATATGGTATTCTTTGAAGCCATTTGGAGTTGCCATTTGCTTAAAATGAAGATGGTAGTAATTGTGAAACTGAGTTTATTAAGAAATGATTTGAAAGTGTATGAGGATATTGTGTCTACTTACTAAGAGAAAGTTCCTTGTTATAGTAAAAGCAAGATGACATTTTAAAACTGTTAAATCAACTATAAATGTGTAAATAGACATCCTTTTATTAACATGCCGTTTTCTGTAAAGTAAGACAAACTAATTTCTTTTTGGTTAATTTTAACATCTATAATGTTTATACTAGTTTTATATAAGCTAACAATACATTGACTATAATCACATTAACTTATATCTGTATATCATCCAAAATTTTGTACAAATAAAACAGGCTAGGGGCGCAGTGGCTCACACCTGTAATCCTAGCACTCTGAGAGGCTGAGGCAGGAGGATCATTTGAGCTCATAAGTTTGTGACCAGCCTGAGCAAGAGTGAGACACCCCATCTCTACTAAAAATAGAAAAAATTAGCCAGATGTGGTGGCTCATGCGTCTAGTTCCAGCTACTCAGGATGCTGAGACAGGAAGATCGCTTGAGCTGAGGAGTTTGAGGTTGCAGTGAGCTATGATGTCTCAAAAAAAAATGCTGGGGCATTGTGGCGCATGCCTGTAGTCCCAGCTACTTGGAGGGCAGGAGGATCCTTTGAGCCCAGGAGTTTGAGCTTGCAGTGAGCTATTGATGACACCACTGCACTCTACCCAGAGCAAGAGAGCGAGACTCTGTGTCAAAAAAAAAAAAAAAGTAATTAAATTTGTAATTTCTTCTAGTTATAGATCTCTTGTTTCATTGGGTCTTTTTGTTGACATGACAATAGAGATACCACACTACTTGCCTTTATTTGAAGTTAAATAAATAGCATAATGTGCTATTGCACATTGCACATTGCATAATGTGCTTTGTTAAATATATATACCATTATCATTTAATGAATACCTGAAATTTTTAGGTTTAACTGTATGAATTTAAAATGATTCAGTGCCACATATAAAAGAAAATAATAAACGACATCAAATTATCTATTGTTTCTGTAGAACCATTAATTTAGTTGTTAGCTTATGTTAAGTTTATTTATTATAAGCATTTAATATACCAAACACTTTTTTTTTATTTTGGAAAGGGACGGGGTCTCACTCTTGCTCAGGCTAGTCTTGAAAAACACTTTTAAGAAAGTTTTTTGAATACATGCATTTACTTTATAGAAGGGTGTGCAAGAATATGTGTGGGCTGATTTTCACCTTCGGGCTTCCTTTGCTTTTTTGAACTATTCCTAGGTGTTTGCAGAAGTTTATCTTAAATTACTAGTAAATCAAGTTTACTGAGATGATTTCCTTGAGCAAATCCACAGTCTACATGATAAACACAGTAGAATTACTGCTGTTTATTAAACAGAATTCAGAGTAAATCTCTGTCCCTGTCCCCTGCCAAGCATCTATAAAAAGCCATTTAAAGGAAAAGAGTATTTGCCCATTTGGTTTTAGTCTAATGCTAATGAATAAGAATTCCGAAGCATACAAACATCTTCAGAAGAATGAACTTTAGACATAAAAACATTATTATTGTCTCCTAGGTCTGGATGTTGATGGGATATACAGAGTAAGTGGCAACCTTGCAGTGATCCAGAAGCTACGATTTGCAGTGAATCATGGTAAGATGATGTTACTGTTACTGTATCCAGATTCATCATTCATAATATTCAGAATTGGCTTTTAAAGTAATTTTTTTAAATGTCCCATTCCTATTGTTTTTCAGATGAGAAATTGGACTTGAATGATAGTAAATGGGAAGATATTCATGTTATCACTGGAGCACTGAAAATGTTTTTTCGAGAATTACCAGAACCTCTTTTCACATTTAATCATTTTAATGATTTTGTTAATGCAATTAGTAAGTATGTAATTCCATTCAGTTTTTACTAGCTATTGAAAATCCTTTGCACAGATAAAGGCACCACACACATTCTGTTTGATTTTATTTTAAATAAGATTTTTCAATGGATTGTTTTACTCCAGAAATTTTAAACATGACCACCAGGTGTCACTGTATTACCAAATGTCAGCTTCCAAAATAGGTCATTGCTTTCAGTTTCACAAGAATTTGCTGCAAAATATCTGGTTATTATGTTTTTTTCAGAACAAGAACCAAGACAGCGAGTTGCTGCTGTTAAGGACCTAATCAGACAGTTGCCGAAGCCAAATCAAGATACAATGCAGGTTCTTTTCAGACATCTCAAAAGGTAAGAGAACTGCACAGTATGAGATGTGACATAAATGTGGCAGCCTATGGCATCAGGGTCACTCAGACTGAGATTGGGATTCCAGCTGTGCTACTTGCTATCTCTGTAACTTGAAAGAGATACTCAACAACTTTTAGTATCAGTTCCTCATAGGTAAAATGGTTTGGTATGAAGAATATATTAAAGTAGATATGTGTGGAGCGTTTATATAATGCTTAGCACTAGTAGGTGTTCAAAAGTTGTTGCTAAAGTTAATATGAAGATGAGATTGGTTATTGAGGTGTATTAAAATTACCCTAAAATAAAGTCATTGTGGCTCTAGGGTGCTATTATATATAGTCACTTTAATAACTGATTTTATTCATCTATAAAAAGAACATTAGAATATGAAAATAAATGATTCTAGTTAGGTTTAAAAAAAATAAAATGAGTAAAATTCAAAGTTTAATCTCTGTGCCGTAATGAATTTTTTTCACCAACCTAGTAATCAACCTGAATTGTAATTCATTTAAATCGATGTTGTATTTTTAAAACTGAGCTAAAATATTATACTTTTAAAGTTTGTTAGAAGTATGTATGATTATACCTTTAAGCTGTGTTTATCCAGAATAAAGATGCACATGGCATTTGAACTGAATTCTACTTGGTTAAATAGTTTATGTGCCACCGTGGCAAAATGAGCATGATTTCTTTTTTCCAAATGCAAACTCTTAGGTTTATAATACAATTTGAAGAATTTTCCGTATTTTTATTTTCTGTTAACAACTTTTTTTTCCCCCTTTAGAGTTATAGAAAATGGAGAAAAAAACCGAATGACCTATCAGAGTATAGCAATTGTTTTTGGTCCTACTCTATTAAAGCCAGAGAAAGAGACTGGTAATATAGCAGTTCATACTGTGTACCAAAATCAGATTGTAGAATTAATTCTTCTGGAATTAAGTTCCATCTTCGGACGTTGATTCTTACTGAAGAAAACCTGCGGAATAGAAGCTGGATTCCATCAGATTTCAAATCTTTATACATAATGTATTTTATTTTTTGGACCAAGCAGTGACTTTTGATTTTGCACTTTTTTGAGGGATCAGAAGGGAAGGGAAGAGGCCCTCATATTTGCTGCTTTGTTGCGAGTTGATAGAACTGTGTGTGATTTTGAATTCATTCTATCCTGAATGTTTGCATTTCATACTCTGAATTTCAGTAAAAAGCAAAACTTACAATTCTAACCAGTCATATACACTGGATGATTTGGTAAGAAAAGTACATTTTTTTTCTCTAAAACTGGATAATGTAGAATTTCTTCTCAATATCTATAGGTTCGTCACTTGATAGATACTTACTATCAGTTATTTGTAAAATGCTCTTGGGCATTTTAAACAAAAAAGATATATTGTGTTTTAAAACCTGTGTATTTCTTTTTCAGGGTTTGTGCATGTAGTGGCAATCTAAGTGCTAAAATTCACTAATACCCCAAAATAATCCCTGATGAAGGCTTGCTGTCTTTTTATTATGTTCGCACAGCATCCTTACTGGGTATCTTAGTTGCTTGTTTGAGCAGCACACTAACGTTATTAAAACACTGTGAGGTACTGGAGTTTTAGTTAGCATAAGTCAGTTCAGGACATTTTGGGCTGTCTTGCTGTACTGAATTGTAGCTAACATCCTAATTGTATCTAGTGCCATACTGAGTTTTGGTATGACCCTGTGGAAACAGACATTATTTGATGTAAATATAGGCTAAAGACTTCATGTCCTTTAGCTTATGTATATAATCATGTTGTATAGTCTCAGAGTACATTCTAACCATACATTTCTAATCACAATAATGGTAATCTTTTCCATGAATTTAGGTTTGCTCCAGAAATAGGCTGTTATTTGGGAAAGTTAACTGTGTGCACTTTTAGATATTAATTACATTTACAGGTAAATCACTGTAATGCTAATGGTACTGGAAAAATACTGAATAGATTGCTAAATGGTAAATGCACTACAAGGGGAACCTTTTTAGATTATTTAATATGTACAGAAAACATTAGAAAAAATTTATCATAGAATTCTAACTCTCTAGTATGAATAGTGGAAACCCATATGTAAATTAGATGGTTGTTGGATGGAAAATTACATTGCTAAATTTAAGAATTTCTTTTTACATACTAATGTAGATTGATTGTATATAAACAGTTTGGAAGGTTTGTTACAGGAGCATGGTCTGTTGAGATTTTTTTAATATTTTCTAGATTACTGCTGTATACGAAATGTCTAATAAAGAAACTATAAGAGATTTAGAGATTTTTCCATTGGAACTGTGCATTTTGGTTTTAATTTTTTTTTTTGCATTTACTGGCATACTCTTATACCTCATTTTAGAAATCAACTGAATCCACTATTCCTGTGGCAAATATAATTTCTCCATTTTATACTTTTCTCTTCCCTTCCATGCCAACACCTCTTCTACCCCACAATTTGGACTTTTTATTTCTTCATCAGTATTGGAAAGTGAATGGTTTGTGACTAAGATTCTTTTCTTAGGATTGCATTTAATTAATAGGTGCCTTCCTTAGGAACAACTATTTTTGTATGATATCTTAAAATCCTCCCTCCTGAATTTGTGGTAAAAATATTGTGTTTGTTGTTATGATCTTGTTAAATTAATAACAACCAACACCTGATAGCTAAAGCAGGTGGTTTTGGTGGGAGAAAAAGCCCAAATCAGAATGCTTATATTTGCCTAAAGATGTCCTTAATAATACAGTAATGCTTTCGGGCTGGCTTATGTGTGATTGTATACCAGTAAACACTTAGACTCAAATCAGTGATGTTCTTTCTCTTGGTGGTCATGAACATATCAAGATTAAAATTGTCCTGTGTTTCTTGTTTCAAAGTACATATGTGTGTATGTGAAGTCTAAATGTGTTCTAGTCTGCAGCTAATTAGTTTATTGTAATATTATATGTACGTGAGATCAATGTCTTGTGTTTCATCCTTTGTGAATTAAAATTCTCACTTGTTTTTGTAATAAAAAACCAGTTATATTTTCCTGTCTTGACAGCTTGATTTTATAGTAGAAATATATTAAAAGCTAAAAATTGTCAGTGGAATTTCATTTACTAATAGGCTTCCTTCATAGCATCATTAAAAAAAGGTACTTGGAAATTAAAAGAAAAGTATAATTCAAATACATTATCACATCCAATTAGAGAAAACTGCTTATTTAAATTTTATAGCAGTGAAAATTTACTTTTACTCTGAGACAATGAAATATCTCTGAAAAATGATATTACATTTAGATAGAGAATCTATAAAATTTTTCTTATGTGAAAATACAAATGTAGGCCGGGCGCTGTGGCTCACGCCTGTAATCCTAGCTCTTGGGAGGCCGAGGCGGGCGATTGCTCAAGGTCAGGAGTTCAAAACCAGCCTGAGCAGAGCGAGACCCGTCTCTACTATAAACAGAAAGAAATTATTGCCAACTGATATATATATATAAAAATTAGCCGGGCATAGTGGCACATGCTGTAGTCCCAGCTACTCGGGAGGCTGAGGCAGAAGGATCACTCGAGCCAGGAGTTTGAGTTGCTGTGAGCTAGGCTGACGCACCGGCACTCACTCTAGCCTGGACAAAAGTGAGAGTCTGTCTCAAAAAAAAAAAAAAAAAAAAAAGTACAAATGTAATAATTCAGCCAAATTTTGGGCTTAGGGGTAGATGGGCTTTATATGTGTTTATAAAATATATACATACATATGCACATGTATATGTAAATGTGTATGCCATTATTACATAAATGGCATGAGAACTTATTAATAATAATAGTGGCTACATGGAGACCTTTATACGATTTTAGTTTCATTCCATACTTCTTTGCAAGCCCACAATATTGGATATTAGGATAGCAATGAGGAGAAAATAGTGTTCCATAATTGTGCCAAGAGATTTTTTCCAGCTCATGGGAGAGGCTTCTAATTAAATACTTAAAGTAAACATGTAGTTTCCCATGTCACTAATTCCTCAAAATCTTTAGGCATTAAAAAAATTTATACACAGAGGAGTCTGCAGCATGTCATTTTAGTAAAGAAGAAAATAAAAATAATCAAACAGGTGCCACACTCTCACTGGTCTAATAAAAGTCAAATGTTCAATGATACTGCATCACTATAGAGAATTGAAAATAGGTAGAAAATAAGATTTTATGGAGTTTCTTATTCTCGCTGAACTCAAGACATCAGCTCTAATAATCTTCTTTTGTAGAAAGCACTTCTCTAGTGTGAGACTAGAAATGGTGTTTAATAGGGACTTTAGCATGTATGTTACAGTATTGGAGGTGGGGCATAGTTTTTTGTTTTTGTTTTTTAAAACAGTATAATATAGCTAATAGAGTCCTATTAATTGCAACTTCAGTTTGAGACAAAAAAGAAAGCAGAAACAAGAGTGCAAAACACAATCAACAGTCTTACAATAATGGTTCATTGGAGTCTATTGGAAATTTATAAACTGCATACTTAGGCCAAGCAGAGTCAGACCTAGTATTCTGGAGAAGGGGAGGTACAGAATGCCTAATTAGTCATTCTGTAGCTACTAAAGACAAGGGCGTTCTCCTGGAGAATCTCAATTAGTCTGCTCAACTGAAGTCTTGTGGACCAGTGGTGGCGGTAAGTATATTCAGCTGGATTGAGCTTTTGCAAATTAGCGTTATGTGACTGTGAGTCTTAAATGAACTCTTTCATTTCCTTCATTGCTTCCCTTCTCCCACAGGGTAAAAAAAAGAAAAGAAAAAAGCACTTTCATAGCACTCTCATCAACAGAGCACTTGTAGAACAAGGTAACTGTTTAACAAACCACTACAATACGTATTTGCAAAAGTCTGGCTTCTTATTTTTTCTCATCAGCCCTCCCCTCCCTTAATTTTACTTCCTCTCTTTTAATGTTTTCCAAAAAACAGTCCTTGGTAAAGATTTTAATTATTGATGCTAATAGCCAAAGCTTTCAGGTAGTTCTGATAGTTGTGGCTTATGCCCCTAGTAGCTTTGAAACTTGTAGTATTGTCATAAACCTTGTAATGTTGATGAAGTCCATAGAGAAATCAGAATGATAAATGATGCTATTGAGGCCATTATAAACGGTCTTTGCAGAGGTTGACATCAAAACCACTGCAGGCTGGATGTGGTGGCTCACGCCTGTAATCCTAGCACTTTGGGAGGCTGAGGTGGGAGGATCACTTGAGTCCAGGAGTTTGAGACCAACCCGGTCAACATAGTGAGACCTCATCTCTACAAAATAAAGTCTTAAAAAGCCAGGCATGGTGGTGTGCACCAGTAGTCCTAGCGACTTGGGGTGTTGAGGCAGGAAGATTGCTTGAGCCCAGGAGTTTGAATTTGCTGTGAGCTGTGATCTTGCCATTGCCTGGGCAATAGAGCAAGGCCCTGTCTCAAACAACAAAAACCACAACCACTGTAAAGTCACAGTAGAGTGACAGGTGAAGATTCAGCATAGTGTTCAAGGCTTCGTTTTCCTCCTGGGCATTTTGAGAGATTGTTTATATAGTCATGTGTCACTTAATGACAGGAGTGCATTCTGAGAAATGAGTCATAAGGTGATTTTATTATTGTGTGAACACCACAGAGTGTATGTACTTACACAAACCTATATGGTAGCGCCCGCGCCACACCTAGGCTGTGTGGTGTACAGCCTGTTGCTCCTAGGCTGTGAACCTGTGCAGCATGTTACGGTACTGAATACTGCAGGCAGTTGTAACACAGTGGAAAGTATTAATATTTGTTTATCTATACATAGAAAATGTACAGAAAAAATACGGTATTACAGTCTTATGGGATCACCATTGTATATGTGGTCTGTCATTAACTGAAACATCATTATGCAGTGCCTGACTATATTTAGAAAAAAAAAATGGGAATTTTGATGCTCAAGTAAAACTCAGACTCATCAATTGTTAAAGCAGGAAAGTACCAGTAGGGACCTTTCATTCATAGTTTATTATTTCATGGATTAAAGAGCTGAGGCCCAGATTGACTGTGAATGTCTAAAGTCTTGCTCAGTCAGTGGCACAGAATGGTAAGCCTAAGCCTGAAGGGAAGTAATATTTTGATGAGTTATGTTATTTCTATTTAAACTTGGTGATCAGTTTATGTGAAGCACATTCTGGCATGTCCAGTGGTATCATTTGTGGAAGAAACAAGTAACTTTGCTGTTGGTGTAATCTGTTTTCAAGCT